TCTCGATCTGTCGACGGCCTTCGGGGGCCCTTTTTTTCCACTCTTTGCGTTATTTTTTTCTCTTTCTCCCGGCCCGAAGTCCTTCGCGTAATGACTCGCATATGGTCGCTTTCCAGGAAACGGTGCAATGTTGCCCTACATTTTCGAAAAGATAGAGAGATACTCCGCCAGTGGCGGGGAACACTGATATACAGGGTGTTAATTAATTGAGTGTCGATACTTCAGGATGTGAATATTTGGATGATTTTAAGAAGAGAAGTTTATATCAATATATGTCCTAAACCTCTTTGTTTTCGAGCTATAGGGTGTTACAGTTATAGAAAAAACAATAAGTTTTCTATCATAATAATCATCATGCACGGAAACACTTATTTTTTGGGTACAAAAAATTATTTTGTACTTATCCCTTAGTAAAAAATAAAAAGTCTACCTCTTTTCCAATTTCAAGGTTTATAACTTTTAACTTTTAGTAATGAAAACACCCCAATGTATTTAGATTTAGAAAAAATTGTGTAGAAAATAGTATAGAAAATGTTTCAATTTTCGAATTCATTTATAGTATTCCTCTTCATCTGCTTCTGTACCTGCACTTTTCTTATGGAATTACAAAATAACGTGCGTTATTATTTCATTTATTTTGGTACTACGCCACTGTTGTAGCCCTCTGACTGAGTGAGTAGTCGGCCACTTTATAGACAAGAGCGTTTTTGGCGAAACAGAGGGTAGGTATTCCGAAGAAACGTTCGGTTTTTAGATGTTTTTACTTCGTAATTATCAGCAGTAAAATTAAGTGTTAATTGAAAGACGCTCACTAATGGAGCCCCGTAATTGAATTTCGGGGGGTTGCGCCCTGTTGTTCAATTTGCATTTTTATACAACTTTCTTCGGCAATACGCTGAAGATTTCCGAGTGGATGGAAAAGGGAAGTTTGAAGCCTTAATATGAAACACCTAAGAACATTTTTATGAGTTGATATTTTGTACCCTCGTAAACTTGGCTTATACAGGGTGTTCCAAAATAAAATCCTAATATTTAAGGGGGTGATTGCTGAAGCTATTTTAAGGAAAAAGCTTTATATGAACCTATGTTCTAAACGTTTTAACTTTTGAGATACAGGGTGTTAAAGTTTTAAGAAAATAATCAATTTTTTGTAATAACTTTGATACTATTGTAGATATCTTTTTGAAATTTGGCACACGTCTTCTATGAATCAAGATGCATTTTCTGATGTACAAATAATTTTATTATGTTTAGCAGTGGCGCCCGTACGGGTTGTACATTGCATATTTTTAGATAAAAAAATGGTACGCCACTGACTCATATTGAAATAAAAATTATTTTCGAAATCCTCATTCAATTCAGAACAAATTTGATTTCTTGACTTTTTCCCGTACGACTCATCGTTTCGCATTAAAAAAAATAAATGCATTCATTTGTACGCTACCGCTTATACATTAGCTTAGCGCTGTGCTAAAATTAAAAAATAACAAATTTTAGGTTTAAAACACCCTTAAATGTTAGCAAGTCATTACGGAACACCCTGTATAAAGAAAAATGGTGCATAATTAGTACGTAGATGTAAAAATGAAATTTGCAAAGAACCTAATTAGAATTTTACGCTTTTCGATTGGCACCCTTGGTTGAAATTCTGCGAAAAGGGGGTTGATTGGTATGCGCCTTTTGGGATCCGTTGCAAAGCTGTTGCGTCTCCGGTGCGTGCGTGCTGTTCGGGTAACGGCAATCAAGTGGAAACGTGTGTGCGTGTGTGTGTGCGTGCGGGGTTGGTTTTTTTTTCCTTGCTCGGGCCTTCGCAGCTTCTGATTCCGTTTGTCTCCCGTTCGAAATTCGAACGCAGAAAACGGCAGAAAAATTTAACCGCACGTCCTCGGATGACTTGTAACTTGACGCCGGTTAAGGCCCAATGGGTAGCTTTTTTTTCGTCGGAGGAATCCGAGAATAACCCACTTTTTATTTAATCGCTGTATTTCCAACTAATTTTATATCCCCATCACAATTAACTGACGCACTCTGTATAGTAACATTTTTGAGGAAAATTGGTGAGGAAAATAAAAAGGAGTACATTTTTTTCAACGATCAAATTTTAATAATAAAATAGGTATTGACATAAAAGTACATGTTACAATAATTTACACCGATCAAAGTAGATCACAATGGTTTGTATTCGAAGGGGGAGAGTGGGGTTTCGAGAAGGGCTGGAGAAAACATCTTAAATATTTAAATATCCATCATAATATAATATACACTTTTTTATAGAAAGAGAAAGACAAACAACACGTATATATATTTATTTATATATATCCAAGTAATCTCTGATCCTATTCCCCGAAAGACAAATGAAAGGGAAACCTCTCATTTCACCTTCGAAAAACGGATTAGGAAACCTTTTTTTTCGGGAAAATTAATCTATTTTTTTTGTACTCGCCTTGAGGTAGTGGTTGTGGTAAATTTTCACAAAGGATTACAGGGTGGACGAATGGAGGATTTGGTTTTTCATCAATGGTAACGTAAGGTATTTGTCCACCCTGTAATTTGCGAAAATTGTTTTCTTGCGCAATTTCTGTTTCATTCATATACTTTTTAAATCTAGTTAAAATCAGTCTTATGGTTTTTTATACGGAAATGATTTATATTTTATATAGGTACACGGAGGTAGGTTCTGTACCGATGAAAACTCCTGAGAAAAATTTTATTCCTAGCCCTAATACTTAATGATCGTATACTGAGTATAAAATTTCTCTCGTTCCATCCGTTAAATATAAAGAAAACTCGTCGATTTAATACAAAAAACCGATCTCTTATACTTATTTACAAAAAAAAAACAAAATATATATTCGAATTTTTGTAGAAAATCACATTCGTCAAATAGAAAAATAGAACTTAAACGAAATTAAACTAAAATATTTTCTTACTTTTTGGTAACCCTGTATCATTACATATTAGTATATTATTACAAAAAATTAACGTTAAGAAGCCGGAAACAAGCGAAATAAATAATCACAATTCGCGTGTGTAAAAATTGAAATTGCGAGAATTGTCGAAAAATCATGGCGAGAAATCCAAAAAGGATTGGAAAAATTCACACCAATAGAGCAAGAACGATTTGGAAAAGACGAAATTTTTGGACCACATATAGCTTATTCCCTATAGTAATTCAACAAAAAAATAATAACAATACAAAAACAGCCGTCGTTACATTTAGAAACTCGTAAAACATATGTCACGGTGATTTTTTTCTTATTTGCATTCAAATACATTTATTAACGGTTAATCGATTTGATCAAACTCTGTTCACAATAACATAGTTGTCATGACGTCATCGTTAGATTAGTGTGAACATACTATATGCGAATATTAATCTGGAAAATAATTACTAATTATGTGTATGCGATATAATTTTGTATAATTCTTGAATCGTTTCAGATATGAAAGACTGTCAATTAAAAGGGTGATACATTTTGAAAATAAATTCATTAGGTTCAACTTGTGTCACCCTGTAACTTTTTGTACACTTAACTAGGAATCGCCCCGTTTAAAATGTGTTTTCAAATAATAGAAAAAAACCCACCGTGAGACTAGTGCTGTCGAATAAAGAAAACAATCAACCACACATTTATATAATACAGACATCCAATTTTTCAAAAATCGATATGTATATGTATTATTTACAAAAAAAATATCCTTATACACAATGGAAACGTATTATTTGTGGCATCGAACGGGCCCGCTTCGGCTATTTATTTATTTACCCGCCCGGTATAATATCCATTTCGTCCTAGTTTTTCCTCCGAAATCGGTTTCGAATTACAGAAACGCAAATTTTTCGGTTCGACCGACGAAAACGGTGTCGAATTTCCAGTTACAAGGGGTCGAATAACCCTCTCATTTTAATATGTACGGACCGATAACTATAATTTGCAACACACGCTGCGCGGTTTTTAAACCCACATGCGTCTTCGGCTATACTTGTAGGTCTGTAGGCACAATTAGACACAATTTAATGTGTAAACTTAAACTTAATGGACAGAAGAGATAATTGTTTGAATAGTGCATGGTGTTAAGAAAATTCAGATTGAATTGAAGTAGAACTGGTATAAATATCAACAGATTTTTACTGGAAATTAGTCAATATTACATGGGAGAAATTCGGTGTGATTTTACCTTTAGTACTTGATTGGATTGTTCAAGAATTCACTTCAAATATTCGATACTTGTATAACTGGGTGGAAATATAAACCCCTTTGAAACGAGCACCATATAGAGTTTCAGCGAAATTTTTTTTATCAAAAGCTCAACTAGTTTTACTACAAGTTTTTTCCGTGTACAAAAGGCGATAATTGATAAAAGCTCCCAACGGTTTTCCCGACTAGTTTTAATAGTATCTCGATTTCTTGCGCTAAAAATAGAAATATCTTTTTTGTGTATGCAAAAAGGAATTGAAATCTGGTGCACTAAAGTCCACCGCTAAGACTAATTTGGGGTCTATGGTGAAACTCGGGTCGGATGGCATTGTCTGGAAAACCAATAAAAATAGATTTTTGGCGAAACGCACAAAGCTCGGTTACAGTTAACTGGAGCGGAGGATAAAAGACCGTAAAATTTTTACGATTGCGAATTGCAGGGTGTATGCAAATAATGAAATTTTTAGGCCATTCAGGTAATCGACCTAACTGTATCATCGGGCGCCCGAATATTTGCGTTTCGTGCGAAAATCGACTAAAAATATACGTTTCACCGGGACGCATCATCCTTTTTCTTATTACAGAGGTCTTGGGTTTAAGAGACCAAAATAAAAATCTAGATTTATGACATCAAAATGAGAAATAAGGTAAAAACCTATTTTTGAGTCATATATCCACATTTCCATTTTGGTCGCTTAAACATGAAACACCCTGTATAAACAATAAATCAATATACTCCATAAATTTTTAATAAAAAATAAATATATCTACTATATCCAACTACATTGAACCTTTAAGGAAGAAAAACTAGAACGTTTTAAATATCATACACGTAACCATATCTAATTATTAAATGATTTAAAAAAGCAATTATCAAAAATCGTATACAATGTTATTTACTTACTACATTTCCAAATATTCCAACATTGAATAATTAGTAGATTAGATTTTTTTTTGAAATTTTTTAAGCGGACCCGCTCCTATTCATCACTGCAATTTTGTCGTTCGAAAAAGAAAATCCCATTCACTCCTAACAATGAACTACTACTATTGTTTGAGGAACTTGCATACCAAGATTATAATACAAAATAAACGAAATGATAATGCTAAATCCCTGAAAAATTACACATTTCGGATAAAACGATCTCGCCGCGTTTGCGCCGTTTTTTCTTATACAGGGCGATGTAACCTAAAGTTCCTGCATACAGTTAACAAGTCGATAGATCCAAAAATAGCGTTTATTAACGAAAAATATCGATTTTTTACCGAATTTACCTGTAAATTTTTATGTTTAACACGAGTCGCCCTGTATAGAAAACCCGCGCGCACCGCCGGCTATAGGTTGTAACATTACCGTTCAATATAATAATAGATAATAATAATAATAATTTGACTTTTTTTACTTTAACATACCCGTTTCCGTCGCACATTATCAACTAGACTAGGACCTACTCATCGGCCTCCTTTGTAAAAATATCGCAGGCGATTCGATGTCTTCTTCTTCCTCTTTGAGCACGAGGCTCCTCGTCGGCGAGCCGACGCCGCTCCCCGAGCTGTTAGAGTGCACCCCCGTCGACATGCTCAAATCCTCCGGCTCCGTTTGCTCCGGAAAAGCCACCTGGAAACAACCACAATCGATGCAGATACTCACACAAACCGGAGGAAGTTAAGGGCGCCACTTCAGGGTGGTTTTAAATGGGAAAATATAAGTTCAGTAAATCCAGTAAGATTCAAATTTGGCTTCATCAATTGATTTGATCTTTCTTTTACCTAATATAGAGACTCCAAGCAATGATGTCTCCTATTTTTAATTTCTCCTATTTCATTATATATTTAAGAAAATTGAAATCGAAAACTGCCATTTATTTGCAATGCTGTTTAAATGGCAAAACGTAATTCTAGTAAGACTCGAGTTTCTTCGAACGGATGTGTGAATAATTTTAGTAGGATGAAGAATATTTATTACAGAACGATGTCTCCTAGTTTATATTTTCCACAGGCTGTATTAAATTGAAAAAACTATTTAAAGGATTTTAGCCAATGATGATGATAGATTCATGTAAAATTATGGTGTCGCCTGACATAAATGTCCAATCACAGAACAATTTTGTAAATTTGACTAGTGACAGCGGTGCCAGTAGTTTCCGTTTTTCAGCTATTTTTGGATAATTTGCACTTTTTTAAGGGCAGGCAATATGAAATAAGGTATTTCCAGTGCACCGGGATACTTTTAGAGCACTTTAATGACTATTTTGAAAACCCTACTTTTATCTTTTCAAATTGCATGGAAAATAAATGAATTTAAAATATTCTGAAAAGGATTTCTCTTATTTTACTTTTTTGTACGTTTGTAGTTAAACTAATCTCATCCCATCTATTGTGGAAAAATGTAGCCAAAAATAGTTCAATATTACCCCACGAATTATGAATTTGAGGACGTGCTTTGGCGTCTTTAATAGAGGTGGGAATCGATTTTGGAGGAATCAAAAAGTTAGTTTACCTGCAGGGGAAAGGTGACGAGCGGCGTGGAGGGCGGATGCAGCGCCCTCCTGCGTCGCTTGGCCTCCTCCTCGTCGGAGTCGGGCGTCATCTCCTTGTCGGGCACGCCGCACTTGTGGTGCAGCAGGTGATGCCTCCGCCTGAACCGGCTCAGGCAGCGCTCGCAGGAGAACGGCTTCTCGTTGGTGTGGATCAGCACGTGCGCCTTCAGCTGATTCGAATCGGAGAACTTGGCGGCGCAATGGTCGCAGGAGTACGGCCGCTCGCCGGTGTGGACGCGGAGGTGCCTTCGGAGATTGGCCACCTGCGGATCAGAAATTGGATTAGTACTTTGAAGGGGGTATATTGAAGATGCTCGGTGCTGACCTGGACGAATTGCCTGTCGCAGTGCTCGCAATGGTACGGACGTTCTCCCGTGTGCAGTCGCATGTGGGTCTTCAGGTGGTGGTCCCTGGTGAAGCGCTTGTGGCACTCCGGGCACTCGAACGGTTTTTCCCCGGTGTGCGTTCGCTCGTGGTTTTGCAACACGTGCTTGTAACCGAAGGACCTGCGTTCCAAAAACACCAAAACGTTATTTACACCAAGAATACCAAAGATTGTTCAACGCTTTAAAACGACCCACACAGTATACGATTCGTCGTACTACATGTTGTACGACTTTAAGTTGATACTACGGAATAATTCATGATAATTCATTTGTGGTTGAATCGACATATTATTAAAAATAATATTAAAAAATGTACGTTATGGATAATAATGAAAGTTTTTGGACTGAATTCATAGAAAAAATACCACAATAAAACATGTTTGTGGGACATGAAAAGTAAGAAATACCTAAATAAACAAAAAAGAAGTACCAGTTAGGAGATCCTTCTGGAAAAATTGAAAGAAATAAACGCAAACTATCACAATTGCATCAACTACAGTCCATTTTGACAAATTCGATCTCATCCTGAACACAATTTAAAACGAATTTAATGGAAACTAACCTATTGCACACTCCGCAGGTGAACTGCTTATCCCTGTTGAGGTCCTTGGCGTCGGATCCGGAGGGCGGCGAGACGCTGGACGTCGGCGACGGGAGCGGTATAGTAGCCGGCTCCTCCGGCTCGATTTTGTACTTCCTCTTCCGCACGTCGGCCATCGTGCTGCTGGTCACCACGTTGTTGTTGTTGTTGGTGTTGTTGTTGTTGTTGGAGGTCTTCTTGGTGGCGATGGCCGGCGAGAGGGCTTCGTTGCTGGTGGGCGGCGAGGGCGGCGTGTCGGAGGGCGGCGAATTGGCCGCCCACGGTATGGGCAGCAGGCCCGGATGGAAGAAGGCCGGATTGCCGGATATCGTGAGGCCGGAGGCGGCCATCAGTTGGCTCGCCATCAGGATCTGCGACGGCGTGAACATGGCGGGATTCGGGAACGTCGTGTACCCGTAGGTGCTTTGGTGCGGTTTAATCGGCTGCTCCTCTTCTACCTTCATGTCTCTCGATGACAAATAATCTGGAAATAAACCAATTAGATGTTAATTTAAATCAAAAATCGGTAGAATTTTTAACTTATTATTTTACAGTAATAGGTAGAGTAAGTGCGCCAAATATGGACCACCGCCATTTTAAGAAGAACGTTCTTTATATCGAGTAAATGATCATCAAACACTAAGCATCACTCTTCCCTTAACCCATCTGTCGCTTACAGTGATCTAGGTTGTACGCATATATTTACGACAGCTTTTTTTAGTTTTCTCCAACGCGCGATCTAATTTTTTAGCGAACTTTGGAAGTTTTTTAATCCAAAAAATACTATTTTATGTGAAAGTGGATAAGACTACGAGAAAGGTGAGTCATGTTGCAATTAATTGTATTACGTTTTAATATTCTATAATATTCCAATTTTCTGAAAAAAAAAATAATAATCTCAAAATGAGTAAGTATCACAATATGGACCAGTGACACGTTTTAAATATGGAGTGGCTAAAAATTAATTTTTATGTTCTAAAATGGTTTCTAAAACAATAGAGAAGATCAGACAAGCGTGGGATAAAAAACGCAATGGCGGAGGCAATTAAAAATGCACGAGAAAATAAAATGGGCTTTTTGAATGCTTCCAAAACATACACCCAAAACAAATCACTTAATGATATCACCACCCAAAAACTTGGGATACAATCAACATTACCGAGTTAATTGGAAGATGAATTAGTCAATTGTATTCTAGAAATGAAAAAATCTGGATGTGGTCCATATTATGTTCACTTTCTGAAAGTTCATAAAAATGATATACTTTAGAAAATGTTATTTATTTCAAAGATTTTGTTTTCTTGTAGAATTTTATGATGAGTTTTTTTTAACTAAATGTTTAACGAATTGTTTAATATAAATAAAGCTGATTAAAATTGAAAATTCGACTTTTTGTTGAGCAAAGTGCTTATGGTGGTCCATATATGGCGTATAACTTCCTCTAATATAAGTATTTAAAACGACATTTTGACAGTAATTACACCCGTTGTAGGGAACTTAAACTATTCGTAGAATAACATGCCCGTCTACTAATCCGGTAAACAATAGCGAAGAGGAAAAAAGGGCCCGATGACTGGGCATATATGTACTCGGAGGAGTCGAAATATTTGGACAAACGGCCAGAAAGTGCCGTTCGAAATTTCGCAACGCAAACGTATAAATAACACGATAAATATTGGGGGTCGTATGTGCGAAATCATTGCCCCATTGAGGTCCGTTCTTGCGGAATAGGTCGCCTGGAAGAGTGTCCTTTCAAAAAGAGCACGGGCATACAATGCCCGGAGACGTCTTGTGTGTATCTATAGCTCAATGGACCTCTTCTTATTTTTCTTTTCCTTTTCGTCAGTGTCCCGGCCGAACGCATCCTCAAAAGCGCACAAACATTTACCGGCAGTGGGGGCGAAATTTTTGGTGGAATATTTAGGATGATATTTAGCCTTGATTATTCCACCAAAAATTACAATAAAAAAATTAATTTCCAAAAGTATTTATGAGTAGTACTAAAATATAAAATGCAAAATGTTGAAAAAAAGAAGTACGCCTATGCGTCGTGGATAGCCCGTTTCATCCATCTCGTCCGGTTTATTTATACAACATTAAATCGAAGAAAACTGTTTGATCTGGTTCGATAGATATCGTTTCCTCGTTCGCATACGGGCCGCCCTTTAACAATGAAACTGCGTCGCATCGGCACGTCCTGACTGTGCATATTTACCGTCGGCAGTCGCTGATGGGAAAATCTCCGGCTTTTCCCGAGCCCGAGACGTGAAAAGGGCGCGCGCTCGACCGAAATGGATGAATGAAACGCGATTGAATGGGGACAACATGCAGGAACGTGTGCGCCTTTCGCAAGCTCGATTTGATTACAACGAATTTTCCGAGAAAATTTGTGTACTAAAACAAAGAGCGGGGCTTAATTACCTCCCTCTCCCCTATGGAGTGCAGCTCTTATCATTCATCAAATACAGGGTGTCTCATCATAAGTTGATACATTTTTTTAACTGCTTATAGATATTTAAATTCTAAGCAACTTTTTTAAATAAGATTTTTTAATATTCTGGAAAATAAGAGAGCTTTTTTTTCAATTTTTAATTATTAAAAAGTTAGTTAATACAGCCCTGTTCATTAAAAGTTAAAGGAACTGCTCAAAATTGTCGCCATTTTGATTGGAAACGCTTTGGAAACACTCTCCATAAATAATTAGCATGTCCACCAATTTATTATTCGTATATAAAGATGAGCCATTTTCAATTTAACAATCGAAAAATTAATTTTTTGTCATTAATTATTTATTTTTTGACACTTGTATGGTAATGGCAGGTACCTACGTATTGGAAAATATTCAACAAAAGTATCAACTTCTGAGACACCCTGTATTCGAGTAAATTTAAAATGGGTAGGGGCGACCGGGGCGCTTATGACAGCCACCCCCTGCTTCCCCTATCTAACTAATATTTATGCGTTCCCTGTGCAAACTTCAGATCGTTAAAAACCTCCCCTTGGGGGGACGAAAGCGGCGGTAACTCAGATTGAAACACCTAAAAAGAAATAACAGCAACGCTGCCGCACGAAAGTAGCTACGTTTTATCCATTAAAACCCGGTCATAATAATATAAAACGGCGAAATAAAAAAAAAAAAAGGATAACATAATGAATCCTTAAGACTTCGACCCCCGGCAACTCCTCCCCGTTCGGTATCCTTTCGGCGGGATCGCGCAGAAGCGAGCCATTATCCTTTGCCATTATCTCCTCCCTTTCGTTCATTAGCGACGTCTTCCGTTTTTTAACCCTTCCCCGTCTCGGCGTCTTCGACCCGCTTCGAGGGGGTTGGAGGTTGGAGGATCACCCCCGTTTCGCCGGGGGGATCTTTGCCGCCCTTTCTCCGGCCGGTCTCGAGAGCTGCGAATCCCAATTTTCGCTTTATTTGCAACAAATTGCCGGGCGGCCTTTTTATAATTCGAAATTCTTATCATCTCGATAAGGGCGAGATGGGGATTATGCCGGGGTATTTTTTAGCAACCGGAGGAGGGGTTGAAATATTTTTTTTTGGAAATTGTAATTGCTCAAGAATATAGGTATCAATTTAAACCCCGAAATTTTGATTAAATCGTGAGTGAATAAACTGTTTTTTTTGGTTTAAAATCATAAAAATTGACTTTTACCTTTCAGGTTTCCAATTGCAATAATTCTTAATAATTATTTTACTCACATCAACATAGCGCTTTTTTCCACCGATTCACCCCCTTTTTCACTAAATTTTAAATAACTGAACGGTCGCGCGGAATCCATCTGGTCATTGAAACGCCTCTCGACTGGCTTAAATATTCCAAAACGCCAGCGTATTTACTTTACACGGCTAATTTCAATGCGTACAATGTACGGGTAATTGGTTTTTTATTGGTGACCGTTTGCACGTGTGAAGGGAAATTCGATTAAGGTGTAAAAAGTTGGAAAGTCGCCCGACAACAACAGCAACAACAACAACAACAATGCTTTTATCTGTTTTTAAATTGAAATGTCTATGGGACTAATCGGTTTTGGAAATAATGAATTAAGTTGGCGTTATTAAAAACTCGATGGGTTAATAGTTCCTGTTTTTTTTTTCTTTCGGGTTTTTAATTTGAGGAATAATTATGTCGCCTAACGGTATCGAATGAATTTACATGTCGAAGCGCGATTTAATAGGATTTTTGCACGACAAGGAATAATGTGGATTAATAGAAGAATTGAATTTTAAAGTGTTTATCCGACGGAAATCGTTCAATTAACTACGAAGAATGCACGAGAGAATTAAGTTGCGCTCTTAGGAAAATAAAATTTCGCGTACAAATTGATGTTTCCTAGTAAGAACGATGCTTAAAGAAAGCGTGAAATTTGCATTGATTTTTTTCATTAGAAATTTGCAAATTCTGACCGTTCAAAAATTGGTCACGGTATAAAATTAAAGAAAAAATGGCTCTATAATAGACGATTTTACAATCACCCCTGAAATTGTATACCTATACAGAATGTAATGATTTAAAAGACAGAATAAATTATAAAGGATATTATTTTAGTTACTCCTTCATAAATTTCTTAAAAAATAAAGAAATATTTTGGAGTGTCAAGTAGAAATCTTGAGCAATTTCAAGTAGAATTTTTTTTCATTTGTGTTTTCATGGAGTAAATGAAAGGATATTTTGTTCGTTTTATGAATATTCTGTTTATTCAAAAGTATATTTTATTGGCATTTCTTCTTAACGAATGAGCATTTATAAAGATATTTCAAACGAATGAAGGGTTTTCTAAATTATTTAAAAAAAATCATTCTTATTATAAAGCGCATTAAAACTAAAAAATATCCAATTTCACCCCCTTAGGAGTAGAGTTTAAAAAAAAATATTTACCTCGTTTCGGAGGGTTTTCTTGCAGCAACGGCATCTCAACTCGAAAGAAAATTCAGCGGAAAAACTCACGCACTTTCCCTGTTCCTCATCACTTCAACGCACCCCGTCGAAACCGATGCCGCCATTAACGCGACTCCAAATAAAAAACCAAAAAAAAAAAAAAATAATACCAAACGATATACCCACGAATAAATTTTCCCACAAGCGATATCTACAATATCTCGCAAAAATCAAACAAGTGTCCGCGGTTTTTATCACAATCGTTTCGAGAACGACCGCATCTGTCAACAGCCGATGGCATACTATCGGGAAATTGCTCAACACGCGCGAGGGTTGACCTAACCTAGCCTAACGTGGTTTCCACCACCCCGTGGCAGGGAGAGTGGGGGCGCCTCTCGCTCGCGCTACGGGGGTAGGGAGCAACCCCCTTTTGTTACCCGGGTATATGCAGAGCGGACGAGGAAACGCGCCCGAGACGCCCGGCCGGCCGGACGCGACGCTTTGCATTGGTAATTAAAAAGGATTCCGCGCCCGGAGTAGTCCGGGTGAACGTGTAGAGAGGGATTCCGGAAAGGTGGAAGGTGGAGCCCCCTTTTTTTTTGCACGGTTTTTTTTTTCAAAGGGGGGATCTACCGGGTATAATTAATTAATAGCGAACTTTAATGTCGAATTGTAATCCCGGAATTATGAAGTTAATCCGGGTATTCATTATCTAGATAGCTAAAAATACCTATAAAAACCTCCTAAAATACAGCAAAATAATTAACTAATTACCGTATTAATAACCGACTACAGAAATAACATTTTAATTGTATGTAATTAACGTAAATTAGTTTGTGATTTGTTGTCGTGCGAACTTCAACTTTACTTAAAAAATTTAATAATAAATGAGCCGTGCGCATTAAATATAACATTAATCGAAGTTTGCCTTGTAAAACTTCATCAACATTTTCCCGTCTCCTCCTCTCCCATGTATATTACCTAATTACACTCCAGCGAAGCGAAGTTTTTCAAATTACATTTTACTTTTATCAAGCGAAAGGAACCTGATTAAACATGCACTTTGGCCCTTTTCTTGTATACGTATGACGCAATTTACGAAAAAAAATGTATAAAAAAATATAAAAAAAATACGGACCCGGAGAGATCGGATATGCTTGGAAAATTAGCGGAAAATATACTTTTCATCATCGTGCGTCACGAGCAGACGACGAGAATCCCAAGAAAAAAGAAAAATTTTTCGTCCGAAAATTCCTGTAAAATGGTCAAAATCAATTTAAAATAGGTCGATTAAATTTTAATTACAAAATTCTAATACTTTATCACAATAAATAACCTATAATTGGTTTAACGATTTTATTCGACTCTCTTAGATAAATATTGACTCCAATCAGATATTTAACTGACTATTGCAAACTTAATTGATTCTATTAGATACGTAGCTGATTCAATTAGATAAACAATTGACTCTATTACATACTTAATTGACTCTATTAGATACTTAGCTGACTTAATTAAATAAATAATTGACTCTATTAGATAATTAGGTGACTCACTTAAATAAACAATTGACTTTACTAGATACTTAGCTGAGTCTATTAGATTGACTCTATTAGAGCAAATAGTTAGTTTGAGAATATTTTAAGAATTATTTATTTGATGTAGCATTGAAATTCGCCAGGTGGAATGTAATAGCACAAAGTAAGAAAATCTTTTATTTACCTTAAGTTGCAGGGATTTTTTCCCGTATAGCGAAAATTCCTCGAGCGGGAATCACATCGAGCGAAAAATTTAAGCTCCTCTTTGTTGCGCTCGAGAAGTTCCTTTTTAAAAAACCTGTTCCCTAATTAAGAAAACTTTCGCCCGTCCGAGCCGGCAGGGAAGCGAAAAAGAGACGAAAATTAATAAAAACGAAATTCGACGTTTTAATAAGTGCCTCACCGGTGGGCGGAAATTCTGGAAAAGCGCTTTTCCTCGACGAACAGGAAAAAATGGAGAAAATATATATGTATATACATCAAAAGCTCATTGTCCATGACGGATCGCGCGAGCTCTTTGAAGTTTTCTGTCCGTTCTCTTTACCGGTTAATTATTAACGAGAGAGAAGAGATTTTTAATGTTCGCCGGGAAACAGTGACGTGGAAAAAGAAAATCGTTCGAGTGGGCATTACTTAGGTACCTATAATATGATTGAAGATTAATTAAAGTTCCCTAACAATTTTCAATTCCATTTCTTTGGTATATTTTTTTTCTAATATTGTCTTAAAAGTAGCGAATATAGGTAGGAAGATTTATTGGTTTTATTAGTTCTCAAGTAGTTGAAAAAAGAATCAAATTGCATATATGCATATAGTAGATTCAAGTAATGACAGTGATGACGTCAGGAGCTCGAATCTGTGAATGAGGCTTATTAGTGTTGGTGAAGGCGTTATTAAAAATTCGTTTTTATAGGAGTAATCTGGAGGGTTGTTGCGTAAAAAAAAGGTGGAAAATAAGAAATCCGTTGAGGCGCGTTCTATTGTGTAAAAATTTTTCGGAAAACGGACCATTATACAAAAACAGGGCTCGTTTCAGGTACGTCCGACGGACGTGCTATTGACAGTTGGCCAGTGGCCTGTGATAGACAGCTCTTGATATTTTTTCCACCCTTAGGGGGATGGATATATATAAATTTTTTCTTCGATCGACAAATGAATAAAGCATCGCATCGGTTTTTGATGTTTTTTCAATTTCTGTATCCGATTAAGTTGTTTATTCGGAAATGTCCGGCGCACGGGGGAGACCTTCCGAGGATTAACTTTTTCCCCGACCGTATGAAAAGACGGTAAATTCCGAATTTATATAGAAAAAATATTACCTACGGATGTGTGGAGAAAATAAAATGTTCTGTTCCAATACATTTTATTCGACAAATAAATCCAATTACTGCAAATTTTACTATTTATACTATAAACTGACTGATTGATTTACATATACCAAATTTTTCTGATGCGAGTTTAAACTAAATATTCTACAGGGTAAAATGTGTGTAGAAACAGCTGATTCCGGGTAACCCGCTTTCGGACAAAGATCCATATATCGACATATTCCGGCTATCAGGAGAATTCTCAATGTTTATTTAATTTGTTTTAAACAACCATCATCTATCGCATGTTTGTTTGGATAGGTTAGGACTGATTAAAATACCACTGACCTTGGTAAATGTTATTTTCTTGTTGTAGGTTTTACACTCTCACTCAAAAATGGTGACTGTCTACTATTATATAACTTCTAACCAATATTAAAAATTATATAAGAAAATTGTTATATGAAACACCCTGTTACATACACACATCATTGTTACATAAAGCATTGTTTATAAATAAATAAATACTACAGTTGGTTCAAAACAAATATCAATGCACGTCACTATACTATCGTCAGACTTGCCAAGCATTGTGTCCAACTTTTAAAAATAAATACACAAAATAGATTAAGCTTAATATCTGCAGAATTTAATTTGATATTAACAAGGGATGATAGAAATTGTTAAAAAGCAGAATTAAATCATCCAAAAATATATATTGTTAAAATTCAACGTTTGTATATAAAATTATTATTATTTTCTTATAGTAGGTTGGTAGGCACTGACTTTCAAGTTGCATAGTTGCCGTTGTTATCCTTTTATTTTTCAATTTTTTCTTCATTTTTCTAGTTTACTAGCCTCAACTACTAAGGGCTATTCAGTCGAATAATCAAGAAATCAAGAAAAGAATTTTTTGCCTAGTTATCTTTTCCACATGTTAAAAATGACACAATTTGATCTCTAAATAAATCAGATTCAGAGATTTTCTCAGAAATTTCACTATGTACTGTTTTAAGAGTCAATTGTATACACTAAACTGAATACGTCCGCCGTTTAGGTCGTGAAACATGTA